AATATACATATATAATTGCTTATATGCATATATACATGTATAATTTGTATGATATTGAATTCGTTGTTGGCATATGTAATAACAAAATCTAATAATCGAATAACTAGACGAACATCAATGAAAAAACTAATTTTTGTTTAAACTTTCATACGATTGGCCTCATAAAAATAAAAAACTTTATAAAAATTAATAAACGCAACAATAGTATTTGAAAAATAAAAATAATAAGTAAAAGTAACACATTATGGGACTTTTTAAATAAATTCATTGAAAGACTTCTCGACTTTTTGCCGAAGGATGTTTTATTCAACTGCAAAATGAAAAAGTTATAAATAAACGCAATGCCATTTTATACCTTTGCGACACAAACAGGATTTTTGGATTGTGTTTAGAAGCTAATTAAGTAATAAATCTTTGGGACGGAAAAACTTAACACAATTATTATTACATAAGAATATTGCATGGCTTAATGATCAAACTCATGGACTTGTGTGGACCGGGTTGTGAGTTCGAATCCGTTTCGAATAACCTGACATCGTGCAGCAGCGATGTCTATTTTCACTTGAAAATGTAGATATAAAATGTGTTTCCAATTGAAAATAGTGAAATGGCAATGGAAAATCTCTCACACCATTCTTTCCTGAATCGAGCTTAACTCAACTGACTGACCTGCAGTACTCTATATATAATATATATAATCATGAATATATTATATTCCAATCATTATTTAATCTAAATTAAAGTTTCAAGTGAAGCAGGTGACAGTTCTGCCGAAATGTTTTCAATGTCAAGCAATGATATGTTGTTTTTTGCATTTATTTCTACAATGTTATATATTATAAATCATTTAAATCCTAAAAATTTTCCTTAACAAACTTCAAAAAGATTTATCAAAATCCGAATAATCATTTAAAAGAAGTTAAAAGAATTTATAAATTATTACAGAAGAATTTTATATATTTTATTTTTAACTAAATGGCAAATATCAGTCGGGTCAGCTAGTATATATATAGACTATTTCCAATTGGAAACATATGGCAATCCGTATTTGCAAGAAAAAACCGATATCACTACTGCTTGACATCAGGATGCCCGAGACGGGTATAGAACCTGAGAACTCTGATTGAAATCCCATAGCTCTAATCACTAATCTACAGGGGACCCCACAATACAATTGCGTTGATTTTTTTTAATTGAATTTTGAATTTTTCTCATTACGAAAATTAATCGAAGATCTATTTCTCTTCTGAATATAATGAATTGAAATTAAACAACTTTGACCCTTTCGTTACGGGTGCCGTATATATATATACGGCGGCTGCATATATGTATGTAAAAAATAAAAAATATGTAAAAAATAAAAAATATGAATATTTGTATGAACATATGGAAGAATATTATCTGAATTGTATTTAAAAAAGTGTAGATATGAGAAAATTTCAAGGTAATGTTGAAAGCACCAAAGCAATAGCAAACACCAAAGACTACCACACTTTGGCGGAATGGCCTACTGTAAGGGAAGGATTAGCATAATTATTAAAAGTTCCAGTTCAATTTGAAATGTCAAGAATATACCAATGAGTATATTCTTGTGAGAATATAATTCTTATCTTATCTTCATCTTATTCTTTCATATAATTCTAAGAGTTGAAAGCATGAAGAGCCCCTGTGCCAATAACCTGCCCTAAAATTTGTCAACATGGCGCATTTTAAATTTCCCTTTAATACTTCCAACCCCAAATAACCAATTCAAATAACATGTTTTCTATCGTAATGTGTCAAATGGTTAAAAATTAGTAAATATTAGGTATAAAACAATCATGTGGTATGCCCATAGACCTTACATTACATGGACTTATATTACATGGATGGGTATGTGCAGATGCACTTATCACCAAAAAATTTATTGTATCAATAATAATCAATTATATTCTGAAAGTGAACAGAAAAATCATTAACTTAGTGATAAGATATAATGATATAAATATCACAACAAAACATATTTATTCTGAATTGTTGAAAATTATAATTATGAATCCAATTGAAGGAAACTATCCAAATCTCAATTGAACAAAAGATTGCTCATTAAAACGCAATATAATAGCTGATAACAAACGCAAGCTTTTCTAAAAAAAATGCTTCAATTCAACATAAAACATGTGGAATGGCTGAAAAAGTTTGTAAATGAACTAAAAAAACAAATCAACACAGTTTGTGGTATAGACATAGAAAAAAATGAATATTAAAACTATTTTGGAGATCAAAATAAAAAATAATGAGAACCAATGGTATTATTTACAACAGGGATCTTTGGATCGAATCCTGTCAATGACTTAGAATTTATGAAAAAAATATGTGTAGTTAATTTGAAATTAAATAAAATTGTATTTGTTAAGTAGAAATTGAATAAAAATTAAGAAAAATAGGAATCCAAAATTCGAATAGCTGAATTGTAGAGTAAGAAAAATGGTTGAAAATAGCAGTTGAATAGAATTAGAAATTTGATATGAAAAAGCAAGAATTGAAGAGAATAAGAAGAAAAAAAATTAAGAATATAGAATAGGATATATATAGGTTGAATATGATATAAAAATTAGTATAGAATGTAAAAAAAATAAAAATGTTGTAGGTGGCTAAATGCTCAGAGTGAGCGAGGCCAAATGTAATTTTAAAAAAATAGAATTATTTATTATGATACAATTTAGAGAAAAATTAATTACTATTTGATTTTGTGAACGAAATTAAAAGACAAAGAATGGCGTGAAAGGAATTTGGAAGTAATAAATATATATATATTTTTTTGAATAAATTAAAATCAGATTGTGAAACAGAGTTTAAAAATTGTATACTGTATTTGAATAATTATATGTTTGAAAAATAAATAATAAAAAAAATGGGTAAACATGTATTTCTAATGGTAACGCAATTTGCTTTAAAATTTCAAAGCTTTACAAACGAGAAGACTTTACTGCATCCGATTCGATTACAACAAAAGTTAATTTATAACGTCTTAAAAACTCAATGATAATAGAATTGTATCATACGTTATAACTCAAATATTTATTTCAATTTAAACAATACATAATAATGTTTGTAATTATATGGTAATGGCGATATTTGTGTAATTTGTGTAGCACTGAATAGATTGATAAATGATAAGCCAGCATAAAGTGCGTCAATCTTTGTAACTAAACAAAACTCTTGCCTAGTTTTTTATTTCTAAGAATTATTTTCATATCCAAACATTCCCTTAATATGAACATATATTGTAAACAATATTTAATTAATTAATATTTTATTTTATATTACTTGAATGCACTTTTTTTGCTTATTATTAAGAGGGTATTCTAGTGCAGAAAATCAAAAAAATCGTTTGTTCTTTTGTTTGATATGTTCAAAGTTTAACTATTCGAGAAACTCAAAAGTGGTAAAAAAATCATCCTTTTTTCAAATAGTCATTTGTCAAAAATTTATTTTTCAACTTAATTCTAGCATATACTATTTCGACATCATTCTAGATTAATAATCTTTTTTCTTTCATATCGGATTACTAGGAGGGCTGCAATCGTGGGCATTATCACGTGTCAATTTTTTGGGACCCTCCAATTCAACAATTGCTAATTTTTAAAATAATTAACTTTTGTTTGTTTTTAATGTTTTTCTGTACTCTTGTAACATTGATAAATAATTTATAGAACTAGTGGAGTGCATGGCATCGTGCCTTAAGGCAAATTGCTGGAACTCCCGTACCGTAATTAAAAATCTTGGTACGGAACCCAAAAAAAAAAACACAAAATATGTACACATTATTAAAATTTCTATAAAATATCTGATAATTTGATGTACATGACATTTTTTTTAACTTATTTTTATTGAGAGTCCATAACCGCTAGACCTGCCTCCCCAAAAATTTAATCAGTTCTTCATCTTGTCAATACAAGTAAAATGTTTTTTGAACTTAAAAACTGAGTTACTGTTTTTGTCACTTTTTGCCCCGTATCTTCTGAACGGCTAGACCTGCCTTCGCCAAAAACTAATCAGCACGTCTCCTTATGAATTCGAATGGAATGTTTTTTGAATTATTCAAATCGGTTGATCGGTGTTTTCGAAATCGTCAACAAAAATTTGTATCCGCACACACACATAAATCTATTTTTTCTAAGATATGCCAAAATATTCAAAAACCATTGAAACGTAAAGATATATAAAAATTTCATTTTCGATTTTTGCGATAACTATAACTTACCCTACGGGGTTAAAAAATGATTACCTCTTTTTTACAATGATTTAAAAATGCTGCACTAAAATACCCCCATAAATGGTTTTATCAAGCCATCTCGCATCTTCGGTTATTTGTTTTGTATAAAAAATTACATTATATTTGTAACATCAGATATATCACAACGAAAAGAAAAAAAAGTCTGAATGATTTCCCACTCTTGATGTCCTTATTTTGCACATTAAATAGTGAATTAATACTATTTTTGTCTTAGGTGATCAAGAGGGCAAAAGCAAATCTTTACTCGTAGAAGCAAAACAGATACTCAAGTTTAAATAGTTTCAAAGACTGTTTGAAACAAATCATTCGGTCATTTTTAAAACTTGCAAATATTAATTAATAATAATTAGTGCAAGAACATAAAAACAATAACACTGATAATAAACTCCATAATTATTAATTAATAACATAGTATAATGACAATTATCGCCCGGAATTCTTGACATTGTTTAATTAACGTGTAATAATCAAAACATTAATTGTTAATTAACACATGATATCGACGTCAAAGTCGTTAGCAATGACAACAACCATTAGCATGTTATTTTGAATTGGTCCCATGGCCCCATGGCCCTTATCAGAGCGACCCCACTGTACCCTAACAATAAGTCTGTTTATTTTTATCATTTGACATTCCAACCGAATGCATGCTGCTTTACTTCTCTAGAAAGTTGGAACTAAATAGCAAATCTATTGTCTTTTTAAATAAAAATTCCCATACCCGATTTGATTCCAGAGCCTCGGCCGTGTGTTCCTCTCGCTGGCGAAAACAATTAGTACATTTACTTTTATTGAAAATGTTTGGAGCAAATTTTCTGCATTCTGTTAACCGTGCTGACATTTTGTTTATTAGTTAAAACTTCCACATCTATAAAACTATATTTACACTCACTTTATTTCACACACTATTTATTTATATGCTACATATTTGAATTGGCACTGTAATATTATTTTGATCGATTTACACAATTCTATACATATAACAATTGACACTTAAGTAACATTAGTTTATGAAGACTTTCGTTCATTGTCGAACTGAGCACTGTTAAATCGAGAAAGAATGGCATTCGTCTTCGTTAACCCCATTCAAAATAAACAAATATAATAATAATCATGACCATTTTAAAACGTGCTGCTGATGAAGCACATGAAATGTAAATGAAACTCTTTCAATAACATACTGTAATACCTTCCACGCACACACTCCATACAAGTTTTTATGTACACAAATAAATACCTTTCGGCAGGGATCAGCAACTCGAAACGGATGCTGACTTTATCATGGAATATCACTAGAAATTGAAAAATTCAAAAATGCATTCTAATATTTTAAATAAAAAATGACTAGTGGGTTCCATGGCATCGTGCCTCAAGGCAAATTGCTGGAACTTCCAGTACCAAAAATTATTTTATTTTAAAAGATTAACATTTTTGAAGAAAATTTACTCTGAAAAACATAGATTTTTGAGAAACTATAAATTTTTGCCAAAAATTTACTTTTTTTGAAAAAAAAAGACTTTTTGAAGGAAAATTTATTTTGAAATATTTTGGAAATTCTGAACTTTTTTTTCAAAGCAATCGTAATGCTTTAACTGCATAGAGACAAAATATCGAAGCGCGTAAGCGCCGCATCACAGTCTAACGGATAAACATTGGTACGGAAACCATAGGAATGTAAACAAAATTTATACTTATTGTTAAAATCTCTATAAAATATCTGATAATTTGATGTGCATTTGTCTAATGATCATTTTTGACCGCCAAATGGCATTTTTTTTTACTTTTTTCATTAGATCTCCGAAACCGCTAGACCTGCCTTCACAAAAATTTGATCAGTTCTTTATCTTGTTAATACAAGTGAAATGTTTTTTGAATTATTATTCAAATCGGAAAAATATTGACAAACTTAAATAAATTTAAAACTAAATTAAAAAAACTATACCAGATATAAACAAGATTAACCTTATTAGTTAAATATGACTCTTATGCTTAATTTCTTATATAAACCAAATATTTCAAAATAAAGTAATATGAAAAAGATAAATAAATAAATAAATATATATATAAAGCAATCCATAATCTCTTATACCAGGCACCCTGTCTGACTGAGATATGGAAATGTATATATTGCTAAATAAAAAAATAAAAAATCATAGTATTAATCCATCCATTTTATTTGTAGTTTTATTATAATACAAGCTAATACAAGCGAATATCCGATCTGACAAAAAAATTGGGTAAAAAGCTAACAGAATTACTTGGTTAATCATTAGACATTTGTACCCGCAGAGAAACGACTATAATTTTTTACGTAATTGTAAGTATTTCAGATATGATATTTCAATATTATTGTTTTTAATTGAAGTGTTATTTCTTTTAACAATAATAAATAACTAGTAGTGTATGACATCGTGACTTAAGGCAAATTGCTGGAACTTCCCGCACCGTAACGAAATGATCGAGGAATATTAAAAGTTTTCAAATAGATTTTTATAAATACTGTAACAATGTCTAATATTTATAAGAATTATGTGAACTGAATTACAAAGTTAAAATTATTTATTTGAAGTATATAAGTCGGCTTTAGAACTTTAGCCAGAATTTTAAAATCTGCATTATTTTCGATATACAAAAAAATGTTTTTTTTTTTAAAAAAAAAAAACGAAAAAAAAATTTTGAAATATTTTTTTTCCAAAAGCAATTATTTTGTCAAAACGAGCAGAAAGTTTTTTAAATCATTCAAATCGGATGCTTAGTTCTCTCAAAAACTGCAATTTTTTGCACATTTAGCTCGGTATCTCCAAAACGGCTAGACCTGCCTTTGCCAAAAACTAAACACAACTTGTCCCAATTATTACAAATTGAATGCTTTTTGGATAATTCAAATCGAATGCTCCGTTTTTTCAAAAACTCGATTACTATTTTCTGCACTCTTTGCTCCGTATCTCCTCGGAAATGCCTCTGCCAAAAACTAATCAGCATATCTCCCTATCAATAGAAATCGAATGTTTTTTGAACTATTCAAATCGGTTAAACCGTGCGCCCAAAAACGAGAACGAAAGAATGCCGACACATAAAACACACATACACATCCATTTTTTCTGAGGTATGCCAAAATGTTCAGAAACCTTTAATACTTGAAGATATGCAAAAAATTTTGATTTTTGACCCATTACTATAACTACCATACGGGAAGTTAATAAATAATAATTTTATTCTCAACAAAAATTAGGTATTATTTTGTTTCGCAATTTAATCCAAAATACTTGATAAATTTTACACAAACATATTTATTCCTACATTAATGACATATTAAATATGCTTAAATTAAATCAATAGTGTTATAATTACGAACAAGTATTTTGTAAAACATTTAAGGTATAAAATTATATTCGAACAGGCTTTTGTTGCAAAAATTACTAAAAAAATGAGTTAAAAAATTGAGTAACTCAAATTTCAAGTAATATTTCGGAGTAAGTTAAACGTAACGGCATACGGTATTTTAATATTGTCTAGGGTATGGTATATTAATTATTCTATATCACAAATTGTTGGGAGCACCTGAATTAAACAAACTCGTTTACGCTCGTGCCTGTTCGCCATACCCGATTGTGGTGGAGGCAATATACTATGTGACACTTAAACAGCGCATTCTAACAGTAATAAGCCAAAACAATTTAGCGGTTTGAGTCTTAACACACTATTAGCAGGGCGAGTAAAAATACCAATCCCGAGGAACAGCATTAAAATCGGTTTACATAACGTATTGAAAGATTAGCTGGTACTTTTTGTTTAGATTCAATTAATTTAGTTTGCTATTGTTTATTTTAGTATTTTGTTTATTTAGTATTTTGATAACATTTAGCAATACGTGTCTTTATGACATTTATTTACATTTCTTAAAACGACTTAGAATTTTCATTCGACATTTTAATATGTATAGATTAGCAAAAGCAAGAAAACATTTAGAAAAATCCAATAAAAACAATTGTAGTTAAATAATAAAATTTTAAATTGAAAATTTGTTGAATATTTTTTTAATACCTAAAATAATAATTTTATATAACTTAATGAAAACTTACTATATAAAATTTACTCAAATCTGGTAAAACTGTTTGCTATACGCACTTGGATATTGAAATTTTGAATAATTTATAGCGAAATGTGGACTTTAAGTAAATTTGATAATTTGCATTTATATGGATTTAGAACATTTTCTCTTTTCTTCAGATATCTTAATTTTTGTTTCAGACATTATAATTTTTTACGTTAGTAGAAACTAGATGAAGTTTACTAAAATGAAATGAGTTGTGATGACATTAGAGAGACACTTTTATATTTCGACTGTGTTAATGAATTTCTCATTAATTATATGCTGTTTAATTCTTTTTAAATAAACTTTCAAAACCCTTTGCTCGTAATTCAATTAAGAATGTGTAAAATTTAAATGAAAACGTTTCACGGGGGTTTTGTCCAAAGCTAAAGTGCTTTTCATTCCCAAATGTCTTTTCTGCTATGCATATCAGTATAGCCTGTGTGGCTACCCACTGATAGTGTATTAATAAACAAGCATGTGTAAAACTATGCACTGCTAACATTAAAACACAAATGTCAGACCAAGGTTTAAATTACTGATAATTATACAAAGTGCAACTGAATGTAGTAATGGTCACTTGAATAGTTAGACCACTCTTCTGATAAAAAAAAATTGAGCCTCAATAAAACGAACTAAAATAGAGCAAAGAACTTAAATTTATTTTTAATCAATTTTTAATAACATTTATATTCATTTCATTAAATTACTATATAAAAATTCATTGTTTCAATATTATCTTTTATAAATGCAAAACTAGCACTTGTAATTTATTATTAAATTTCAAGTTATAGAGAGTTAAGATGACATAGTAATATATATTTAAAAATATGCCATCAGAATTGAGGTGTTATAATAGCTACCTAAATTAAAGCATAATGAATGCTTATTTGTTACTTAGAAGTAATTATGCAACATAATCAAATTAATATTAATCATTCAATAAACAATATTTACCCAAAATAAAGTAACTAATTAAAAGTTTAAAATTCATAAAAAGAATTAACTGCATATAAATTTTATAATATATAATTTTAAACTATGCTAACTATTAGATAAACTGCCAAATTTTTCAGATCAACATTTAATATACAATGTAAGAGTATTCTGATTTTCACATATCTGTACATATATACATACATGAAAACATGCATTCGTAAAAAGTATTTTTTTAACATCAACTTTTAAAATTATTTCATAGAGATTTTTATAAACAATTTCATATTAAATTGACTGGTGATGGAAAATGACTATCACACAGTGAATTATCTCTTTGGTTTAGAATAATAAAATTTAGATTAAGTACATGTGCATTATCCACAATAAAAATACTGCAAAATTAACAATTCTTGGGCCAAAATAAAAAATATTCATACAGATAATATTAATAGCAAATTTATACAATATGGTAATAATAATTTTATAAGATATGCTTTGATGTTACCGCTATTATGCTTTAACGTCGAGTTACTGCAGCCACCATTACTGTGAGGAATATGGTCCATATTAAGAAACTACCCTCCACACGGCTTATTATGGATCTCAATTTATCAAGAATAATCTTAAATATGGGTAGAACAGGCTTTGACTCCTTATCTGCATATTGCAGTAATATGTTCATGTTTCTCATATACTCTAATAAAGTTGAACTATCTTTAGTAAATACAGGGAAATATTCTCCAAGTCTTTCTCTCGTCCACCAAGCAGTGCTAGAATTTTTTAAATAAATTGTAAAATAAGATTTATAAATTAAAACAATAATTATGTAACTCAAATTTAAGGATTATGAATTGTAATAAATATAAATTGTAACAAACCTTGAACTCCATGGGGCGTATTTATAGTTGTAAAGAGATCCTCGTACATATTTTGGAGGATTGGAACTAAATGGGTTTGTACTCAAAAGAGCAAGTACTTCTGGTCGCCCTTCCAGCAGCCTGTATGCCAAAGACATTATCCAAGGATGTTGTTGATAAGTTCCTCTGGATGCAAAATGCATTTGCCAGTCTAAACGAGGCTGATGAGGAGCTATAATAATTTATATATTAGATTTTTTAGATTTGCTTGTACCCATTTAACTGTTTCAGTTTGGCAAATCTGAATCAGTTCACTATAAGACTATACATTGATATATATATATATATATATATATATATATGTATATATATACACTATAATATATATCATATAGTACATGATTAATAAATTACTTTGAATTACATTTAAAAACGTGACACTTGAATATTATATGTTCTAATATATTTCTAAATAATAATCGTATTATTGATAAATTCGAATCATATAACAAGGTTGTATAACTAATTGTTACATGTGCTAGCAACATTAACAGAAAACATTTAATCTCTATTAACCAATTAACAAGAACAAATTTAGAAAATTTCTTACCTGCAAATGCAAGTGAATTATTAACATGTACAGGTTTATATACAAAATTGTATTCTTGCCACGGCCCTTCAATATTATTTGAACCTTCAATTATGATTTCTTTTCTAGTGTTGAGCCCAATAGTTTTTCGAAATATTGGATAAGAGTTAGCAATATGCAAATGTGAAAATTTATTATGTAGAGACCTGGCTTGAGGTAGTACTGTAGAATTACTAACATGATGCAATGAAGACATCGGTACCTAAAACCAACATATGTTAATTTCTTCAAATAAATTCAATAATTAAACAGTTCACACTTACAGTGCTTAAACCAAAAAGGAAGAGTTCAGCTACTAAAATAATAAAAGTAATGCAGAACGCTTTAATTCTAGTTGCACCAACATGCTGTGAAAAAACATCATTTAAAGATCTAACTATTAAATATCCAAGATTTAGCAAAGCAAAAATATAGGAATATAAAATCATTTTTGGAAGATAAGTTTGGAACTGCTCTTGAGTAAATCCTATAAAACAACAGAAAATAAACATAAAATCCTGCATTGTAAATTTATCATTGGTAAAACATAATCTTACCAAGTTTTGCTGTGATGGTATAATCAGATTGAAATTTAAAGCCTAATGCTAATATCAAACAGTAAGCTAAAAAGGAAAATATCACTGGTGTAGGAAGCTTGCTTGCAACTTTTAGAACTGTTGAAGACCTTTGTTGGGAATGTGATCTAAATTTTAGGAAGATTCGATCATCCATTAAAGATACACACAATACAATGATAAGGAAGTCGAAAAAGTTGAAATTTCCTGTAGCTATTATGTGGAGTTGTAGAATAATCTGAAAATAAAGTAAATAAAAATTAAAATAGGAATACAAAATTAATAACACAGTGGTTAGAATGTTACTGTATCTACACAAGATAATGTTTGAAGATTACATGACCATAAGTAGTTACATGCCAGGTGAAATCAGTTTCAAAAATATTTTTAACCCTACAATTAAAAAAATGTACTACATTCATATTTTCAAAAATATTTTTATATTAACTCAATACTATTGACATACGTAAATACATACACACACACACACACACACACACACATTATATATATATATATATATATATATATATCCTTCAGATAATATATATCAGATCCTTCAAATAATTTTCAATGCACATGTGTTCATTCTTGCCTCGGAGTCATATGCAATAACTACCAAGTTAGTGCAAAATATTATTATATTTTGCAAATACTTTGCTATGCTCCTTTCAACAAAAAAACAAGTTAGTGTATATATGATAGTGCAAAATTATGTGCCTTGCGCAAGTTACTGATAAAAGACCTTATTTATGTAAGTTACTTTTGTTGTTTTTTTCCACCTTATCTTGTTATAATTACATTAACATTGTTACAGTTGCCTTTCTATAGTTTACGAATTTTTTACCACTTAATATTTGTATGGATACATATTGCTTTTGTAAGTTTTTACCTAGATATATTTGTATGTGCATATACGCATGTATGAATTTACTTGTTTGTGTGTGTATGTGTATATATATATATATATATATATATATATATATATATATTTGTGTCTTTGAATGTTTTTATATAGTTTTCTTTTCATTTCTTAAGCTTTGTCTATCTGTTTAGTTATAATCATTGTTGTTGTTATAATTATAATACTTGTATTTATAGTTCTTTTTCCAATTTATGTCATTTTTTTCCTAGTACATATTAATTTCTCAATGTTCATTCTGTAGATCCACTGATGATGACATAAAATCATCGAAACGTTTGGAAAAATTAAAAATTAACCTCTAAATCTTTGCCTTTTATTTGATGTATTACCCTTGAAGAACTTACTCATATTCCTCAACATCAAAATTAACTACTTTAACAAATATATATATATATATATATATATATATATATATATATATATATATATATATGAACATATTTTCAAATATATATATATATATCAGAAATAAAGTGTTTTATCAAAATTCGGCAAAAATAAAAAACAATTATCTTTGCTATAATTTATATATACAACATACCCTAAGAAACACTGATGTCAAACGTACTGCCCTTACTGGGATGAAGAATAATGCAGGCATAACAATATCCATAGCTAATGCTGATGCAGTTACAACTTTCAGAAACCAATGTGGAAGATGATGAGAATACCATGCTAATGGTGAAGGCAAAGGCATTGTCTCAAAATGTGTAGATAAAGCTAAAATTGTTCCAATTCATATTAAATTTTGCTTTATCAATACTGATGAGAATAAAATACCTGACAAATTCCACCATAAAGGAGAACCACTGCTAAGTTTAATAGTGCCCATTGTGAATAGCACACGAAACAATAACCACTTTATTCCCCACAAAGCAATATGATCACGCGGAGTTGTGGCCGTAACTGCTGTTGTTCGCATTCTTACATATTTCCAAGGAGCAGCAAAAAATGTTAGAAAACCAGCTTCTAATAAGAAGTTATCCCTAAAAAGATTACATTTTGAATTAATCAGTTAAGTGTAATCAATAGAAATGTTTTAATTCTCCATGGAACTAAATGAAATACATTTAAAAAAAATTATTTAAATTGTGCAATGTGTTTTCTAATCTTTATGACATGCCATTTCTACCAAATACATGTATCATCATTCTCACCATTGGTAAGACATAAAAACATGGCCCACTTGTTGTAATGAGAAATATAATGACCACAAAGCTGCAAATACAGGAGCAAGACAAAACTTCTGTGATATCAACCTGCAATGTATGAAAGTTAGAATCATGGAGGACACACAAAATAACGTTGAATATTAACATACCCACTAAATGAGAGAACAATACCACATAAGCACACAACATCGAGCATATACTCTATATTTAATCCTAAAAACGGCGCAAACCATAACAACGTCGGCTTGTTATGAATTTCAGAGATCAAATCCTTCGATTTGCTGATCATTTGTGTTCGCGCCGGCAGAATTCCATTCTCCCCATAAAGGCCTGCAAGTGAGGCATTACATTAATCCAATTAAAAATTCAATTATTAAACAATATTCTTACCTGGAATCTGCAAATAAAAGGATAAAAACGCAGCTAAATACACGAAGCACATCCCGCGCAGGAACACATTTTTTGTGTAACGAATTGGTACAAGCATCGTAAAAATATAAATAGTAATCTATTACATTAAAAGGTCTAAAACAATATTATTGCTTCTAAAACAATTCAAACAATAATCCCAAAACGCTACAAAGTGCACACAAGCGACAAAAAAAATTATGATATATGATACCTAGTACAAAACACTAATCGGCGACATGTACAATATTAATAAACTGACTGACGGGTTGACTGACTGACTGACTGAAACCAACGTTAGTTTTGTGCCATAGATAAACGGAATCAACAGGATTAGAATGAGCATCAGTAACGAACATTCCAAAGAGACCACGAGCGGCGACGCAACGATAATGGAAAAGTGCGCAGACGCGCACGGCGGATTGTGTAAAATTCTGCTTCGTTTCACCCGTTTTAATCGTTTTAAAATTAGCCACTCATAAAACAAAAGGTAATAGAGAGAGGGATCTAAGATGCCGTAAGTCGTTGAATAATCAAAACTTAAGGTATGAAAAATTAATTATTTTATTAATTAATTTATTATTTATTATTAATTATTATTTCCATATGGATCACATAAAAATATATTTAATCAGTTTATTTGTAGATACTCATACAGAACTTAAGCACGTAAAAAAGATGCAAAACTACACTGTTAGACAATAAACTCCTTATCAATAAAAACAAAATTTCAAATTATTATTCAATTCATATATATGCAAAAAATATAGGTAAATATTAAAATACAATTATATTTAAATTAATCGATACTGAAAAAATTTTATATCACAAAATTATCATTTGAAAAATAATTGGCACTGTTATTATATATGAGCATATTATTATATTCATGTAATGCAATAAATTTAGTGACCAATTAATTCTCAAGTATCACTAGATCGAAGATCCATATTTCATTTTGATTTGATTTTTGATTTTAAGTATTTACAATACTTATTTGATAAACTTAAACACTACTCTCACATTGTCAACTCCTATAAAAACTATGAATGTAGGAATATAACAATTACATATAAAATGCTGCTGTCTCACTCTAATATTCATAAAAAGTTAAATTTAAACATTCTTATAATTATAAAGTTAACTACAATAATATAATATCCTGTTTATCAAAAACTATTATGAAAAATTTATGAACATGGCTGAACATTTTTGCATAAAAGCGAAATGTTTATATTTACAATTATTTGTGCTTTTTTTGTCTTTCAAGCTGTTAGTAGTGAAGAACATGAAAAGTTTTCACAAAACTGATAATGATTATTTATTGAGCTTGAAAAATGAATTCAATTACTATTAACTCTTTCAGGTAACAGTCAATTATATTTGATTATCAGACATTTGTAAAAAAAAATAATAATTTACTATCTATGTTTAAATACTAGTCATCTCTTGAGGGATCATGTGATTTCTGCCTCTTGTTTCGTTTCCATGTGGCAATCCGTTCCTTAAGTTCTAATGCTATAAACAAAATAATATATAAAAAAAATGTAATAATATTAATCACACTCATTTAATCACACCACGATAAAAATGCTATAAAAAGAAATATAACTTATCTATGAATCCCTATTACAAATATGCTTGGATTTGCATTACAACATTTAATCAATGTCAAATAAAATATTCCTTCAACTATTTAAAAAAGATATAATTTCATGATTCTAAGATCTGTCTATAAAAAAAATAGAATATTAATGCTTAAATTAAATAAATTATATGTTTTTACCTGGTAAAAGCATGTCTTCAGTCAGAGGTTGTCTATTAAAAGGGTCCGTATTACTATTAAGAAGGTGCCTAATTATGATGGGCCGATCCATTATTGTTCCCGAAGGTAAAATTACAGGATCAGTCATTAGAGTATCCATTAAAGGATCTCTATATTCTTCTGGAGCATCAGCAAATTGGTCCTCGCGTTCTTGATTGGCCACTGTAAATATTACAACAACATTTTTATTTATTTTATAAATTAAACTGATTTAATTAACGAAAAAATATTTTCTCATTATTTACTAATAAATTGATCAGATGAAAAGCCATAAAACTAAATCAATATTATTAAATTTAAGACATCTTATATTATAATCCGCATCTGTGAATTATCTCATAAAAATAAGATTTATAAACCTTCTTTTATAAATGTGTTATTGTGACAATAAGGAATTACTTGTGTTTATATGGTCATTTTCTTACAATTACATTATAAAAATAAAGCATTAGAATAATAAGCTAAAACAGAAGAAAAAATATTGAACATCATTACATGAATTGATTTAATTAACATGTCACTTTCATTTAGAGAAAAAAAGAATTTGATATACATTCAATAGAATTGGAAATATGAATATGTATATCAAACTTTATTTACATGATATACTATATGCAGTGTTGGCTAATGCTCGGAATTTTTCAACTTCCAGAGGTGGTTTAATACAACATCTTTCCATTCTAGCTGCTGCATCAGCAAATAATGACTTGCTAAACGACCGCTGCAAAAAACAACAAAAAAATTACTAATATAACGCAATTATTACAAAAATGCATTAGAAATATAAATAGTATGAGACGCTTTTTAGTTTAGAACTGGCAGTAAAATGAATAATAAATGATATATGTGCAATATACTTTCAATTGAATGTAGTGTTCTTAAGATGCCACTCATCAGTAGTTAATATTTATGTGCAATAAGTCAATTGAAATAACTATATTTATACCTCATCGGCTGCTAAAGCTGTAGCAAATTCTTTGCAGTCGAGATGCAAATAAATATCGATCAATTGACTCAGTAACTTTCTCGGATCCCAACCATACTTTGCTGGATTTTTCACCTTCAAATTCTTGCATTTAGGTCCACACAATTGCTGTAAATTAAAATTCAACATGGAACTCAAACGATCAACCAACTCCGGGCGAAGAAAGGGTTCCTTGATATCAACTGTCAAGTAATGAAACATATCAACAGTTTCACGAGCTAAAGTCAAATATGATCGGCACTGCCTTTCATCTGTACTCAATGCACGTATCCTATTATTCTGTTGTTCACTTGATAATTTATCCCAAGCTGTTTTGTTTTCCTGCAACTCTTGTGTTTCGTGAATTCGTTTCAAATATTCTAAACATTCATCTAGTAAGAAAGTTGTATCATTCATCAACATATTAACGAACCTAACAAATTGCTTTCCTGACTTAGATTCATTTATTAGTGCTTGTCTATGTAATGAGCTATCCCATAGTGATTTGATAATAATGCTTATATGATATCTGATGGAAAACTTGTCATAAAATTCTGTACTTTGTCCAGTTGTTTCAATATCGGTATAAAATTTCATCAAGCATATCGGCAGCAAGTCTTGAGACAGCTGATGAGACATTATATGACTGTAAAGGCGTTCAGCACGAGGCTGAATTGCAGGAGATATTACAAATAATACCTCAATCATCTTGGCAATGATATATGGATTTCGGACAAAATGTGCACTACAAATTGAAACTAAGAGCCAAATCACTAATGATTCATCCATAAATTCTACAATAACTGGAGGACAGTACCTAAAAAAGTTATTTTGAATTACAAAAATACTCAAAATGGAATAAAAAATTATACTGCTAATATTTTTTGAATATCGTAGAAAGTGGAATAAATATAAACAAAAAGTACTAACTGCATTGACATCAAAATGAAATCAGCAATATCCTCCATGCACCATTCAGGCAGAGCAGCAAATACAGTATGCACCTCTGGAGAAATCACAGGCATTTGATGGAATTTGACTGAACTCCCAGTTGCCAATTTCAGCAACATTTCACAAACGGTTCCATAAAACTGTAAAGAACGTCGAACTAGCATAGGATCCCACAAACCAGCCTCCAAACTGCACTTGGATCTAACACAAAATAGCAAATCACAAATAACTAGTTTAACTAAGTTTCTTTAAATATGGTGAGCAAAAACAAAGAACTAAGTCTAAAAATGTATTGTTTTAATATTAAGTTTATTGTAGTTCCTCACTTTGTTAACTTCACTATCTGTGCCATCCACTTATCCTTGAGCATTTTGTTTCTGGCAGCGTATCGAGATGTCCATGAAGATTCTGTTGCCACCAAATCTTCAGTTAAACGTTGTAGTTCTTTTAATGCCCTAGTTTTGCGCATATATCTAGAAATCAGGTTTATTATATATGTACAAAATTTAAATTTGAATAAATATGTACTTTTATTTAATTTATTTTTAATAAGAAAAATTATTAAATAAATTCTCGAAAATTATAAGCAATCAATCAATACTCTTTACTGATTTCCTTTACATACCTTTGTTGTGCTGGTATTAGTCCAACATGATGTGCAAACAATGTTAAAAACCAACACTTTGTAGTAAATTTGGCATCTTTCCAACTGTGTTCAGGGTCACTACCTGTCAATAAAATTATTTGTAAACTAGTGGTGTATGGCATTGTACCTTAAGGCAAATTGCTGGAACTTTCCATACCATTTTTTTTTTTAACTTTGAAAATTGAAATAGAAAAACATTAGATTTCTGAGAATTTTGTTTTATTTTGAAAAATTTTGGAAATTTTGAACTTTTTTTTTCAAAGTAATCGCGCTACTATAGCAGCATAGAGACAAAATATCAAAGCGCGTAAGCGCCGCGTCGTAGTCTATTAGACTGTCCATTTAATTTGTCCATTGAATGGACAAACAATGTAACGGAACCTATAAAATGTAAACAAAATTTATACTTTAAAATCTCTCATTTTTGACCGCAAAATGGTGTTCTTTTACTTTTTTTTACTCGATCTCTAAGACCGCTAGGCCTGCCTTCCCAAAAATTCAATCAGTTCTTCATTATGTCAATACAAGTTAATTGTTTTTTGAAATATTAAATTCGGACGCTCCGTTTTTTTAAAAACTGAGTTGCCACTTTTGGCACCTTTTGCTCCATATCTTTGAAAAGTCTCCTTATCAATAAGAATCAAATGTTTTTTGAATCATTCAAATCGGTTGAACCGTGTTCCCAAGATCGTCGACGAAAATTTGTATCTGAACACACACACATACATACATCCATTTTTTGTAAGGTATGCCAGTATGTTCAGAAACCTCTAAAACGTAAGGATATATAAAAGTTTTCATTTTCAATATTTTTGTGATTACTAAAATTTACCCTGCAGGAAGTTAAAAATTTATTTGAAAATAATTATTTTTATCTACACTTACTTATTGAAACAATCCAATCACAGTACTCATTAGTAGTTAATTTGAGCCTTGTTGTATCATTAATATCTACTATGCAATTGGGATCAAAAATGTACATAAAGTCGACTTTTTCTAATTGAATGCGTACTGATAATTGCTGAAGAAGTACCAGAACATTCAACATGAACCCATCAGTCGCTAACTGTCGCTCAATACTTTGCATTTGCGATCTTTTCTCATTGAAGTTCAATATGGCACCGAGATAATCCAACACCAAATCACGGCTAGCAGTATTAACAAGAACACTATGGAATATTTTATGCAGTAGTGTTCGAGTGTTTTCCAGTTCTTGTTGCAATGTGGTAACTATAGTTTTATCAGGAGCACCTGAAGCAAAATATTTATCTGCTAGTTCTGGTGAATCCTCAGCAAAGATAGAAACATTCAGAAATGGACTAAAAAATGTAGTTCTCGCTATTTCCCGTCCAGGAGATTCAGTGTACATTTCTGGGAAAAATATTGACTGCTGAACTATTAATGTGGCAATAGGTCTCACATTAGGGTATGACTTCCATCCAAGCCCCAACAAATAATTTAAACCCTCCAATATTGGCCTATGTTCATCCTTAAGCAAAGATACTTCTTTCATCTTCTTATACAAATCTTTTAATAAAGGACTAAAGATCATAGAAAAACATTCATCTTTCAAAAACGTTTCAGACACTAGTTGTTGCAAAAATCCATCTGGAAAGCTGTAATTTAGTAAAGGATCTAACAATATAGAACCAGGTGAATTCAGAATGCACGGTGTTTGAAAATATAAAATGATAACACTTATAAGCTGGCTTCGAATATCTGCCAAAACATCACTTAATGGTGGCACAGAACTTTTCTTAGGAAATCTTCTTTCTTCTAAAAACACTCTATGGTAGCAATTAATTATGTAACACAATACATCATCATTATCAATATTTATAACATTTTTGCTATTTTCTTGAGCAATATTTGCTATTGGTGATGAATTACAGGACCCCAAATCAGTATCAGTATCAGACTTCTTTTTTTTCAATGGTAATTGAGTTTCAGATGGATCAGTAATGTAAGTACTTAATACTTCCATTAAGCATTGAGTTGTGATATGTGATGTAATAATATTTGGGTTCTCTATATACGTTTCAGCTACATTGCTTAAATAAATGCTTCCTAAAGGAAAAGGAGAATAATTAAAATATTTTTTTTAAAGCGATAGGTAAATAGTAGCTATAATAATGATACTGTAATAGTTTGAATAATATGATACTAACAAACCATCAGAACTAATACCTGGACAATAATCAGCCCAAGAAACATCGAGAACTCTGGAAATGCAAATTCTTAGATTTTCTTGGGTAACCTCTAAACTGCCAACAATTTGTTGATTCTGCATATTTTCTGAATACTCAACCTTAAAAGCATTATATCATTAAACCCACCGAGCAAATTACGAGAAATTTATGAAATGTGACACTATTGATACAGATATTCTTATTATAGATTCTTCACCCAATATAGTTTTTTTTTAGATAATATTAAAAAGTATATAATATACAAGTTTGAGTTGAGTCTAGTATTCTGGGATCAGTCAGAAAACAAAGGCTATATATTTTTGACCATATACACAATACAATATATTCAATATCTTAATGCTACTTTCATGTTCATGTTCACTTCAGGATACCACTTACCAAACCAAGTGATAATGAAACTGTACAGTAAAAAAAATTGTGTGCCTTACGATTTTTTGAATTATGAAATACAAATTCATCTTAAATGCAAATATAATATATAATAATAATAATATAATATATAATGAATTTAAAATAGAAAAAAGCAGAGCAAATTTTGTAGTAGTATTTAAAATTGTAGTAGTTAAAATATACAAGTTCTGCCTTGTTAAGACTCACCTCCATATTTTCATCTACTGAATTAGTGCTACTTAGAGATAATTTACCGCTATCGATTTTTACTGAACGGTGTTTATTTTGATCAGCACATTTCTCAAACACTTCACAAATCTGCACAAGACTTGGTTCAGTGCACATATTTGCTACAGATGAAACATTAATAGTCGTAGATATCTCTTGGGCAGTTTGGGCTGAAATTTTGTTTGATTCCTCTATTTTTGTAGTGTTCGATGGCAAATTATCACAGAACTTATTGGCATTTTCTTTATCACTTGTGTTTTCTAACACATCACATTCTTGAGATTCATTTAAATTAGCATTATTGATAGAAATTGAAGATTCATCCACAGATTCATTAGTGCAATCAAAAGAAGGAGAACTGGCTATAGGTGTGTTACTAGAAGTATTTAAGATAGGTGGATTATTCATTTCCAAACGAGCTAAGCGTCTTCGCCGGATCTGCGGAGATAAAATATAACAAAACAATTATTAAGCACAGTAACATCACACATCTTGGGATCATAAACAAAGAGCACATGAAACAAATGGCATTTTTAACACAAATAGAATTCATAGTTGAAGTTAATATATAATAAAAAAATGCTTGAAGGTGAAAAAAACAATAGTTTATTGAAAATAAATGACAAATTTAAAATTATTTTATTAGGTTTTAGTTATAACACAAATTCCTAAAAATATGTATTTCTTTCCGAGAATTGTTAATAAAATATAATAGTATTTTTATAAAAAAGGCAAAAAGAAAACAACCTAATTTGGCAATGTTCAGAGAAGTGCTATAATTACAAAAACTTATAATCGTATTAAAGACCAAGCCTGACAAAGCTTTTGTTTTGATACATAATTTTCGTAAACGTCACAAAGAAATCCAAATACAGTTCTTAAACAATATAAAACTCACTTCTTCAGCACTTAATTCATCCATGACAATTACTAATTACTTAATTTTCAACCAATTTTATTAAATTAGAAGTTATCTAAATTTAATTCAAAATGAAAGTACGGAAAAACATTCGTTCTCTCCGAACTCAAAAAATGATCATGTTCGCACAACTTCGCTATTGCTTATTGGCCTTTCATCGTTATTGGACAAATGTGGTAAATGCGCGATTGAAAACAGCAAGTCATCACATCCTAAACGTCAAGGCACGGATTGACTCTATGGCAAAAATCTCGTTTTCTGTGCCGTTGCAAACTTGAAAACGTTATATCATTTTTAATTTTATTTTCAAACATACTTTTAATTTTTATAGTGGATTAGATCAATTTTAACATTAAATTTAGGCAATTTTGTTTCGGGTGAAATATTTGACTCACACAGTGAAATTATAATAGAAAGAAAACGTAACAGATTTTTTTTAAATTTATCTCTACTAAGATGATTAAAATATCTAAATAGAAAAATATAATATGATCGTACATATATGTTCTTGATACGTATTCAGATGAGACCAGCCCTGTTTACGATATTTTCATTTTTACATTTAGTTTTTTATTTCATTAAAAATGTTGGAATCAGTCAGTATAGCGTATTCTTAAAAAGACTAAAATTACAAATAACAAGAAAACGTAACAGATTTTTTTTAAATTTATCTCTACTAAGATGATTAAAATATCTAAATAGAAAAATATAATATGATCGTACATATATGTTCTTGATACGTATTCAGATGAGACCAGCCCTGTTTACGATATTTTCATTTTTACATTTAGTTTAGTTATTTTCATTAAAAATGTTGGAATCAGTCAGTATAGCGTATTCTTAAAAAGACTAAAATTACAAATAACAGAAAGCATATTTGCATTTGAATATTGAATTAACAAATCCTAAATTATTTATATTTCAAAATATTTGTATGCTGATATTTATTGCGTTATTTATTTAGAGTACAAATATTTTTCAAAGAAATTTTAGCGTGATGATGCTTATTGGAAGTTCTTGTTAGATGGCACTGATGGACTGACTGATTTGCATTTAAAAAAAAAACGCATTTGAATACGTGAGATCGCGATGGAACAGATAGCCTGAATCAGTTAAACCCTGACATACATTCATCACACAAAAATGATTTATTATTTATGAACAAATGCTACACTTCAAAAAGAAAAGTTACTTTAAGCACACCTCCTTAAAAGAAAAGTTATATAAATAAAATAAAAATTCAAGATTCATTAAGTTTACAATAAATAATATGCATTTACAATAACTTATCCTATAAAAATTCATGCTGACTGGTCATTAAAATCATTTTTCATTACCAGCTATAAATAAACTTAGAATCTATTAGACATATGTAAACTCTATAAATATGATGAAGCAGCCCATATTATTGTTTCAGTCACATCAGTTTATAAATATAAATGGTAAAGTTTTTGTAAAACAACAAGAAACAACATAAAGAAAACCAAGAAACAAATTTAATTTAGCTGTCTGTTTTGGCACACTTTGTAAAGTGTCATGACATCTGAATTCCTTCTCAATTTTAAATGCTTGAGGAAGAGTCACAAGAGGTAACATAAACCATATTGAATATTTCATCCCACAAACAACAAACATTATATATGGTGTAAACAATAAAAAAGCATATAAAACGTGTGAAGCAGTATGTCCGATCAGAATGGCTAATGTGACAATGCCAACTGTCTTGTCATATTCTGAATCACGAGTATTATTGCTGTGTAGAATAGCTTCAGTGTTTAAGGCCAATGGTACAGCATAATATATAGTAGACCACTCCAATCTTCCTGTTTGCGACATAAATGCAAAAAGAACGGATATAGGTCCAAATATAATTAAAATTAAAACATCTCCTAATGCTATATATTTTAAGCCTATTCCTCCAGTGTATAAAAAACTAGATGATAGTCCACCAAAGTAAACTAGTGCTAAATGCTCCATTTTAGCAGGTGAGAGAACTGCTAACAATATGAAACCAATGCAGCCTGCAAAATATAGCAGTGCACCTAATGAAAACAACTTCATCTTTTGATAAAATATGATCCACAAGCGTTCGATCATCTGACTTTCGGTTATCAATTCCTTTTACATAGTCAAAATATGTATTAACAACATTTCCCGCTCCATGTACACTCACAACTGTAAAGATTGTTAGAACCAATATGATCCAATTAAATTCTGGACTTCCAGGATATTTATATGCAATTGCAGATCCCACTAGCGTAGGCATGAGACTTGCACTTAATGACCACGGCCTCAATGCAAGCACATAAGTCCGAAGCTTCATGAGGGAACTGGTAAGATTGGTCTTCGGCTTCGAGTTTTCATTTGTAAACAAGTCTCTGCCTGCGACAGGTTTTAAAATATCCATTTTGGCACTACCGTTTTTCACTATGGTTGTCATATTTTCTTCTGTAATATTTAAAAAGAGCAAAATAAATACGTAGTGAGATTGTGCATAAAACGTAATAACATCATGATGTACATAACTCAATAGCTTGCAAAAACATACGTACGTCACACAGTACACAGCACAGAGTTAAATATATTTCAACAACCGACATTCCCCATTTTAGCATTTATAAATTTAGTGTTTGTAGCATTTTATATTCTTGCTCTAAAAAACGTCACACGTCACCGAAAGCGCATGCGCTTTCGTCAAACAACGGATCCAGAATGGGTTATAACACTTAGTACAACAATGATCTAATTTTTCATTACTTGCAGGCAAATCTAAGTAAAATGTACGTTCATAATAACCATTACGCAACTTTACAGATTGTTGTTAGACTTTAGATACCTGAAAATTTTATTTCCATTTCAGTTCATGTCAAATTTCTGAAAGTTAATTCTCTGTTAAGTTATTTTGTCGCGGTGTGGCGCTGGCGCTGCGCTTGTAGTATGTCACAGTCGCGACGCATGTGACGACGGATAGGCCGCACCAGTCGCCTCTGCCGGTGCCGAAGAACAATTAAATAAAAGAATTTATTTGAAACTGCGGGTTTCTTCTATATTTCTATATTACCAAAACCGAATGTTTCAATTTGACAATATATGAATATGATATATTCATATTTTGTTTGAACGGCTTGACGATAAGAGGTCAAATCTACAGTTATTTGGTATTCCTATTCCTATTTTAATTGAAGTTCTTAAAACCATTAAATAAAAAGTACTGAAAAAAGTCAAATTTTTTTAACACCACTAAATGCGTTTATTTGTTTAAAAATATACAGATTATTTTTCTATTTTTTAAATTAATAACAATTTTTTTATACTATATCAATTCTGTTTTAGTCTGCAAAAATTTACAATATTTAATCTTAAGAGATATATTCAAAGTATTCTATATATTTACGATTATAATCATTTCACAATTTGCTAAAGGAGGCAACTGAAATAAACGAATGAATATTGAACAAGGCAGACCTCCGTATATTTTGCCTTGGAATGTCAGTTTTGAAAACATTTGAGTTTGTAAAATTTGTTTAATATTCATTCCATAATTATTTATCAACATTGACAAGATTTTCTTGAACTGTGGTTTCATGAACATGTAACAAATTATAATTAGGTTTACTTCATCAGTTGAAATTGCCATTACTAAAAATGATATTAGATTAGATGTCGAATCATTTGAGAAAAATAAAGATACAATATAATGTTTTTGTATTATTATTTTTCTGCTGAAGCATAAGTAGATTGATTTGAATAACATAAATTTTTAATAAAAAAAATCATGTTATAAGAAATTTTTGGCTTCATTATTTATGCTGTTTAAATTCCTGATATTAATTCAGAACTTCTATTTTTTACCATTTACCATTTATGTTTGCATCTTTGGTAAAATTAAGTTTACAGTTTAAGGTTTTGAACAACAGAGCGCACAATAAGCGTGACCGAAAACGCATTAACGGCAATATTTAAAAAAATATATCATCATGCACACATAATAGATAATAAAGCAAATTAAATTAAAAGATTTGATATGATATAAATTTGATTATTGAACCCGATATAAAAATTATTAATATGTCCAAGAATTAAAATTAAATTTCCTTTTTGTTATAAGATTAAACTAATAAAATTTTTGGGAAATATTCAATTCGGACTGCTTTTGCAACTCGATTTCAAAAATCTATACATCGTCTAGGAAAATATGAATGAACTTTAGTGTACGAAGTACGCGCTATCCATCTCTTTTTCCGCTCCCGGTGTGCGCCCCACCAAAGCGGAACGGAGATAATAATCCCTTCCACTTATATACCTGACATTCGTCGCATGTCGTGTCAGTTCGCTACAAGTTCGTGTTGGACTCCGGCTGTCAGAGCGCATGTAAAATCTTTTGGGGTTGAAATAATCATTCGCGGGCCTCTTATAAATACTGTTTGAAAACATTTTTTGTTAACATTTCAGTGAAGTGATGTAAAGAACGTATCATTTTTTTATTACTTTTATTGATTAACAAGTGTTTGATTTCGGTTTACATTAAACTACAATTTATTGACGGTCGTGGCGGCTCGCCCTAGTGAAATTTTTGAGTTGAACCCCTTATATGTAACACTGATACTGCACTTATATTTATTGATATTGTCTGTATTTTTACATTTTGTGTTCATTATTAAAACTTAAAAAATGAATGTCGAAGTTACGCCGAACTATTCTTACGTCTTTGATTTCGAAAATGAATTTATTCATCAAGAAACGAGAAATTGGATGACTAAAAATTGGACATGGGGCTTTTATTATTGTGGAATCTACATGCTTGTAATTTTTGGGGGACAACATTACATGCAATCACGGCCAAGGTTAGTAAATTTAATGCATTGTTTGGCACACATTGAAAAAACGAGTTTTCTAAATCGTTTAATCAAATGCTTTTAGGTTAATGTTGAAATACTGTTTAATGTTTTATTTAAAAGAATTAAATAAAATGAATTTGATAACTGATTTTTATACAACATATAATCCCTGTAAAAAATGTAATGTCTTTAAAATTATTTTAATTTCACCCGACGCAGAGGGTTTGTGTTATAAAGAAAACGCATTTCTTTCATTTTTCAAAGTTCAAACATTTTTAAAGTTTCATTATATTTTATAAAATATATTTTTTGCAATAAATTGCCGAATAAACGCGATAAACGTTTTGGCATGCAATACATGTGGTAAGTGCAACGAACTTAATGACTTAATAGCTTGGATATTTAACTAAACTTTTCATTTCATTCATTTTTGTGATTATAATGAAGGTGTTAAGTTTTCATAAATACAGCATCTCTTTATTGATTATACTAGCTTATAGAATTTTATGTCACACTTTTTTTGCGCTTACAGTGTTAATTTAAAAGGACTTACTTCGATGGCACTACTTATTGGACTTTAATTACTTAATTCATATAACTTTGTTCATTTTAATAGCTAAAGTTAATACATATGAGAATTGAATACCAATGATATTGTATAACGTCTGACTATAAACTAAGCTCCATACCAAAATTTTAATTAAATTTAAAACAAATGTTTAATTGTTTATTAATATTACTATTAATACATAAGTTGAATGTCAATAAATAATAAATAATTAAAGTTTTTTTAGAGGTTATCTCTATTCCCGCTAACACATGAATCGGGTAACAACGAACAACTGAACCTTTACCCTGGCAAAGGTAAATAAAAAAGTAAATTAAGTAAAAAAGCAATTTTACAAAAGATAAATTAAATAATAGCTATTTCAGCTCTGTTGATGAATATTTGCAATGTTTGTAAAAAATACACCCATGAAATTTACATTCTGTGTTGGTTTAATAATGTAGCTTATTTTGTAAAATTCCTTTAAAATTAAAATAAGACTTTGGGGCTATTTGCCACCTGGCCGTCCCAGTTTACCCCGCCTATGGGGTAAAAAAGACTAGTTTACAAATTTTTGAAAAATAGCAAAAAATACATTTCTACAGTGAAGATTTAGCTGAGAGTATTACTGAACATAGTCAGATAGTTGTTTGTTTGGTATGTGTTATTTGTTGGTAATATAATTAGTTCGGTTTTCACAATACCATTGCTCAATGTGAAATAGGACCTTTGTGCCCCGCTCTAAACTACACCAAAATCGAGGATCGAAGTTTATTAGTGTTATGCGCCTAGAGAGCAGAAATAATTTTTTTTTGACAGAGTGGAAAAATTATATCGATTTATTCAAATATGCTTTTTAATAATTTAATACGTGCTTAATATTTACGCTATAAATCTAAATATTTTTGAATTTGTTGTTTTTGTTTAATAATATTTCATAAAATATAATTTAATATAAACGATAATATTATTGTTTATATTAAATTATATTATATTATATTCTTTATTATATTATATAATTATATATTATATTCTAAATTATTTTATTTAAAATATTAACACTGTCAAAAATGTACACAAATAATATGCAATATAATATTGCATATTATTTGTGTTTGAATACGTTTTACATTTTAATAACTTCCCGAAGGAGAAATTTGCTAAAAAATCCAATTTTCTCATTTATTTTTTTGACGTTTTAGGTCATTCTGAATCGAATGAGACCAGGAAAAGAATGTGTATGTGTGTTTATGAGTTGATTTTTGAACTTTTGTCGACGTTTTCTTAAAAATGGCTGAACCGATTTCAATTATCGTTTATCATTTTTGTGCAACGATCACGATTTTATGAAACGTTGTATAACGATAGGTATTGTAGTCTGAAATAACATACTAAAATATAATATAGCTTAAGTGATTCTAATCAGAATTTATGCCGAAGAATATGTACGTTCTGTGGTGTTTCGCAGACAGCTATGGATTACAGTTGACGGCCACACTTAAATAGAATACATAGGACATGAAATAGATGAGATAAAATGTGTTAAACAAGTTAATTTAATATATATATATATATATATATATATATATATATATATATATATATGATAAAGTTTTTCAGCCACAAGTCGAAAAAATAAAACCAGAACGTAAATATAAATCTTTTTAATACGTTTCGAGCTATTCTGCTAGCTCAGCATTCTGTTTATATATATATATATATATATATATATATATATATATATATATATATATATAACAGTTGAATATTTTATCCAAATGTATAGCTGAATCTCTGAAAGTTATACCAATTTGCCTTGGCAGGTTGCTACTTACAATTAGTTTATTTTTTAATTAATATTGTTATATATCAAATATTTTAAAATAATATGTTAATGCACGACTTTTATGATGACGCTTCGTTATTTTTATTTATGAAACACAAATTACAATATTATTCAATGTTAGCGATTGCATATTTTAATAACTCGCTGTTTACTGATTCATCAGTTTCCTTTGCTGATTCGTATACTCTGTATTTTTGGTTACAGAAATAATATGTAATGTCTTATAATTTAATTCTGCGAGAAAGTAAAAGGATATAACTAATTATATATAAATATAAATATATTTATATATACACAAATAAACTCAAATCATTTGCGAATTAATGATTATGATGATTATTATTATTAGCTTATTAATATCCAATAATTATTACAGGTACTTTTTTCATGTTTCATCTTTTATTTCCACTTTGCTTGTAGCGCTTAACATATTAAACAATAGTTTAATGTATAAGATCAGTAACTTATTTATCATCAATGTTTTACTGTACATTTATACGTCTTGGGCTCTTTGTCAAATAGCAACTTTTCTTTTATTTTAATGCATGTTCAAATTAATTTATATGTATGTATATATATACCTTTTTTATTTCGACGAATGGGCTGCTAGTCACTTTGAAATATATATATATATATATATATATATATACACCTAAGTCTGTTTTTACACGGAGATTGGTTCCAGAAGAAACCGTGTAAAAAAAAAACGTGTAAAAAAAGACATTGATCTTATACAAAAATGGGTGATTTGTCCTACTCTCTAAAACCTATTAAAATTAGTGAAAAACAAGAATTCATGTTTATTTGAATAATAATTCTCCTAAATTAGTGCTATTCACATTTGCTTTGACCAGTAAAAATTGTTTGTACGCGCTAAAGGGGAATTCACTTAAATCTTTAAGCTAGTGTTCGCAAACTATCGATACTATCGATGGTTTCAGACTTTTTTCTTTCATAAATACTTTTTTGTGATATGAACATACTTTGCAAAAATTAAATTTGACAAAAAAAATTAAGTACATAAAACTTCAAATCGTGCTAAATGGAATAAAATCGTGTAAAAAAATTAAAAACATTCAATTTTCAAACCGTGTTATATCAAAACCGTGTACAAAAAGACCGCGTAAAAACAGACTTAGGTGTATATATATGTATATATATATATATATATATGTATATATATATATATTATTTTCCAATACGGGGTAAGTTGAACTCACGACCCCGTCCACAAGAGTTTGTGGGCTTATTCATTACACCATGGAACAAACACATACACACACACAGATATATATATATATACAGTGACTCACGAAATTGATCAAATGGTCCAGTTATTTTACATTTTAAATGCTTAAATTACCAAACCATTGCTGCTAAGCTATTTTTCAGGAATAGAATGAACGTACAAAAGTAAAAATAAATAGAACTTTTTTTATTTGAAGAAAAAACAAAAAAATCTTTTTATATGCATTTGATCAATATTATAAATTTTGATTTAATGTAGTCTACTGCAGTCATTCTCCCTTCTAGTTTCCCTATTAAACCAACACCTTTTGACATAATGCATTCCCATAGCATTATACTTCCAACACTAAATTTAATAGTTGGTTGGTTGGTCTTGTCCATAATGGTTCATTTCGCCCTTTCTACATCCACTCCTTGCCATCAGGCCCAAATCGAATAATTTTGGTTTCATCAGACCATATAACATTTGACCAATCATTTACCGCGAAGTGGACATATTTTTTGGCGAACGTTAATCAGTTTTTGATGTCTATTTGTTAACAGGGGCTTTTTAACTCTAGCCCTTCGTCGCAAGCCAGCTTAACTCAGGACACGGCGAACTTCTTCTGCACCGATGTCGATATTATCAATTCGTCTAAGTTTATTTTGTTTTTGAACGGCATTGTCGATTTTTCCTGGACGAATAGAGCGAATAATACCGCGCTTGAAAGCATCTGAGAGTATTGGCTTAAGACCTGCTTTATTACTTTTAATCTCTCAAATAGGTTGCATTAATTTTGCGAATGTTATATTATAGTTCCTACTGAACATTGATAGTTTTGGCTTAAAAACCGATAGGAAGCTTCTTTTTGAAGCTCGTCATGTATAGCTTTTCGAATATTTTTCAACATCGGCTTTACTGCGAAGCAATTACAATTCAAGTAGTGTAATGTATTCTAAAATGTCAACAAAATTAAATGACTTATTTTTCAAAATGTTAGGAACGAGTTCCCTACATTCTGAAAACAGTAACAAAGATCTAAAATGGCTTTTTACTTACTGTTTGAGAGTGTGATTAAAACTCGCAAAATCGATCAAGTGGTCTTTTGAGGCTTGTAATAGGACTGATTATGAGTGAATTATGTTTGCAATTTTTGATAAAGAATAAACAGATTTCTGATGGAGTTATAAATTCGTATTGACAAAAAACATAAAATTAGGACGAATCGTTGATAGTATTTCAAACATTTGATCAATTTCGTGAGTCACTGTATATATATATATATATATATATATATATATATATATATCTGTGTGTGTGTGTATATTATGTGTTTCTAACTATATAACAGATTCGCGATCATGAAAGTTACGTTTTCAAAAGTAACGTACTGTTAGTTATTAAGCATCATAATAGAGAAAGTTTGATTTTTTCTCATAAACCAGTTCAAAACCAACAGAACCTATAATTGCACAGTATTTTAAATCAGACAGAATGGAAATACCCAAATTAAACATCCAAATAAATTCACTTTCTTGATACCACGTACTAGGTATAGATGTTAGCTTCCTTCACTTTTCAAACATTATTTTGGTAAAAAAAAATTATATAATTAATACGTTGCGAAATTCATACATCTATAACAAATATGGAATAATGTAAATATTATAATATCCATTACAATGATCGTTCAACAACGTTTAAGGAATTAACTTTTATTTTATTTATTTATTTATTTTTTTAAATTATTTTTGAAGAGTAATCAGAACCTAATAATCCTATAAGCTGTTGTGCTGATTTGACCTAATACTAGTCTGTTTGACAGATGGCAACCCAATCAGTTGTCACATCTCTATATGATATATTATTATTACAATTTCTGTAATAGGGCGAGTATTTTGATTGGTGCAGTAATGCCGGGTGAGGGCTATTTTCACTTGGAAACATATTACTATCTATATTTCCAAGTGAAAATATTTGTCACTGCTGTCTGACAACAGGCTGCTTAAAGTGGGTATCGAACCCGGGACCTCTGATTCAGGTCCCATCGCTCTTAACCGCTTACCTACGGGCGAGCCCAACTTATAATAAAACTTTTTTTTTAAATATGTTTCAGATATTCCTTAAAATTGATTTCTGAATTAAACGCATATTTATATATCCCGTATTTTATTTAAATTATTTTAGTTGAAACGTATACACTCATATAATTGGCGTTAATGATCTGCTATTCGTATCGAGTCTGGTCTTCTCTTCCATCGGCATGTGTTTATCCAGCGTGACATAATCCACTTTATACAATCCGCAACTGTGTAATGACGAGCAGAATGCAAACTAGTTCAAATCTTCGAGATGATACTTAACCAGACAAACTTCTGAAAGCACTGGCATTATCTCTCTGTAATTACTTTTTTCGGTGACGATCGAAAGTGTAAAGCTTGCTGTCGGATTATCTACCGCTCATTAATAGGGATGAAAAAGTTATGTGCCTGAAATAGAGACGTTTACTAGCATACATATTATATTATTTATACTTCAGAATCTTTACATTAATATTTTTGAATAATTTAATTTCGACTCTAATACAGTTATAATCTAGAATAAAATCGTCACATTTATCTTTTTATTTAAAAGATTCTAATGTTGAAGCGCTCAAATTTAATTGAAAAAGCTGCTTCTGAAAGATTTGTATATAAACAGCATCTACATCTATCTTTAGGCGTTGTAATATATACAGTGATTTTGACCAGTTTCCAATCTGTTGAAATAATCTGTACAAAGTTATCAATTTTAATTAGTTGTGTTTTTTATTGAACGTATATGAAAAACATTTTCCATTATTAAACATTTAGAGAACACTTATAAATTTAAATTTATATTTTTATCATATTATTTAATTAAATATATTATAATATTTTGTTCTTAAATCAACGTTTTTGGAAAGCTTTTATGTACTTCGTTAATATTATTCTGAAGGCACCGATTTTTTATATGATCTTTTTAATTAGTAGCTAGTTCCATTAAGATTTTACAAATGAAATTGTTCTTCAACAGGTTGTAATCTACGTGTATGACATTTAAACGATCAATACCAAAAAAAATATTTTGACTGTTGTTGGTATATCATGTAATATTTCCATCTAGTTATCATGGGGTTCAAAAGAAAAATCCAAGAAAAGAAGTAGGCTGATTTGAATATTGTTTATCGTATACTTTCTAAAACACTTACTGCGTAGCTTCAATTTGCGAATTTAACGCTTTTATGCGAAAAATTTCTATTAAATTAACCTAAATCTGCGCACGAGCTTTTTTTGAAAGATTTCTTTATCAAGAAAATGTCTGTGTACTTTTTATTAGAACTAATTTTAACTTGATATCAACTATTGTAAGAAATATAATACTTCAATTATTCAGCACAAAAATATCTGACCAATTTTTTATGATTTCAAAAGATTTCAACAGATTTTTGATTATATCATTGTTTTCTGTCGATTAATAAATATAGCTCTTACATTTTACATGCAGGATTTAAACTTGTGATTCTGAATATTGCTGCTTTATTATGAATTCAATCGGTAATATAGCGAAACTTAACATATTTTACAAAAAATATTCTGTAACATGTTTTAAAAATATAAAAATAGACAGAAAATTGTCATTATCTATGTTATTAATATTATAGCAAATGTACATCATTTTACGGATTAACGAACATTTAATTAAATATATTGAGGTATTTCTCAAGGCCGATATTTGCATTCAAGATTTTCTGGTATAATTATGAGTTACCAGAATAATTAATATTACTAAATAACATGCCACCAACTAATGCGCAATGCCTATCTGTCTATACACTTGAAAATATGAATTATTTTAAATGAAGATATGGAAAGCTACTTATTACATGTTTGTCGCAAACTCTTGAGTAATAGGTCAAAAACATACTATTAAGTCGTAAATATAATTTGTAAAAATTGCTTACAAGCATTTTGTTTTGATGTGCAAAATCAATCATTTTATTTTATTTATTGGATTTAATCGTTTATTTGATAATGATTTTCAATAATAATAATAAATGGTAGTCTGCCTGAAGGCAGGTCCATGGTATGAGAGCCAATACAAATCAATGATTTTCTTATCCCTCCTCGTGTATCATTCCTATTACCAGTATTTCCCTTCTTTTTTTACACATTTTTTTATGCATTTTCCTTTCTAAACTTCTGCTTTCATGCTTCCTGGTCCTACGTTTCGGCTTTCTGTTCCCTGAAAAGCTCCGAATATTAGGTCAAAATGAGGAAAAATCAATTCTTATCTTAACGGGAAATAGCTTATAATATAATATGCTGAATTCTTTTAAGGGATAAGTAAGTGAATTTATTTAGAACTTGCTATACTCACGACTTTGTCTGCGTGGAATTTACCAAAAAAGTTAATTATTTTTTAGGTTTTGAATTTTTATTTTGATTATCATGTACTTTTAGTTCTTTAACTTCCCGAAGGAGAAGTTTATGTTTAAAATAGGTTTATTGAAAACTTTTTTTATATAAAATATTTGGTGTACAATTTTCTTGGGCTAAAAAATAACACTACTGGCATTTCTTGCACAAGAACGTGTCACTATAATAGTTGCCCTTTGATAAAATAATTTTAAAGTAAATCTAGACCGGGTTTGCTCAACGTTTGTTCTTGGAACTTGTTGATTGTAACACCTAAATTCACTTAAGATACTTTTTTTTAAGATCAATTAAGATACTTTTTTTTCTAATTAAATCAGCTGACTGTCAGTAAAAGTCTTGTCAAAATCGGCCCAGCTGTTTCTGACATTCATACACATATATTAAAAACGGCTAAAAGGCCTTACAACGTTTTTACGATGTTTTGTATATACAAAAACTATTTTTTCAATATTTTTATCAAATTATAATTACACTTATGAATTTACTAAAAATAAAACCTATATTGATATTTGATAAGTCAATTGATCAATGTTGAGTGCTGATGGCTTATTAAAACAATCTATTGCATATATAACAATTGATGATTTCATATGAGTGATACTTTTTGTTTTATCTTGTTTATAGCAATTTTATAGAAACTTATTCAATTGTTATCTAGTTTTTTGTATATAAAACTTTTTTTTTCAATTTTTTTGTCAAATTATAATTGCATTTATGAATTTACTAAATATGAAAATCTTTATTTTATATTTGTTAAGTCGATTGATCAAAGTTGAGTGTTGATGGCTTATGTTTAAAAAAAATTCTAATGCATAGATTATTTTTCGCTACTGCGTTTTATACTAAAACTAGTGAGATAAAAGTGTACGGCATCAATGACTTATAACATATATTTTTATCAACTAAATCAAATATTCTAATTTAAGAACAATATACGCATTAGCTCTATTTTGATAAGATATATTAGATAATTTAGTAATGTTATTATTTATATTATATCTTATCTAAATCATTGTTATCGATGTATAGATATGCAATACATAAGACACCGGAATCAGGAAACTGTGCGAAATTTTAGAACAAATATATAATTTAAAGTACATTTATTTAGACTTTGGCTGCGTTCTTGCTTTAAGTTTTTCATAACTGCAATGATAAGCAATTGTGGCATTGCATAATAAAATAAATCAAATTTTATTATGGTTTTGTTACTACTACCAATAATATATAGCACATGTATTATTTATGTTGTAATATAAAATGTGTAAAATAACAATAGGTGAATGACATAAATATTTATCATTTCAATGGTTTAATTTTAGTTATAGGATCAAAGTTTGATGTTTGTGACAATATAATTTTTACTAATTACTATTACTATTATTAATAAAGTTTACAAATATTTATTTATAACATTGCTATTAATAATAGCAATTATATATAACAATTATATATAAGATATGAGATATATATAACGATTATAATGAGAAATATAGAGAATAATTCTATAAATATATAGAATTAATTGGAAAATATCTACAACAGATTATAATAGCCTATTATAATCTGTTGTAGATATTTTGAAATTAATTCTATATATTTATAGAATTATTCTCTATATTTTTCATTATAATCATCAAAATAATGTGCAAACACAGTAACAATCTTTAATGATGTGTTAGCCGGAATGTGAAATTTTAACGTCTTGCTGTTTACTAAAATTTAATCATTAATTTGATTTTGATTTGGGTTTTCAGATTTGAGCTCCGGGGCCTTCTGACAGTATGGAATGCTGGCCTAGCAATGTTTTCGATCGCTGGTGCCTGCCGGACAGCTCCTGAACTTCTCCACGTGCTGACGCACTACGGATTGTTCCATAGCGTCTGCGTACCAAGGTGAGCAAAGAGTTATCTACGTAAATCATTGACAACAATTTCTTCCCGTAACGACTGGTTTTTACACGTGCTAACCATGCTGTTCACTTTATTACGTCTAAGTTTACCCTATAATTTATTTCGATGGGAAACCTTTATACTATTATATTATTGAAGAATTGGAATTGCATGAATTATTAAAATCGGATGCTCCGTTCTCTTAAAAACTGAGTTACCGATTTTGGCACTTTTTGCCCCATATCTTTGAAACGGCTAGACCTGCCTATTGATAGGAATCGAATGTTTTTTGAATATTTGAAATCAGTTCAACCGTGTTCCCGAAATCGTCGACAAAAATTTTCGCACACACACACGCGCATACATAATTTTTTTCTAAAGAATGCCAAAATGTTCAGAAACCTTTGAAACGTAAAGATATATAAAAATTTTCATTTTCTATTTTTTTGCGATTACTATAACTTGCCCTACGGGAAGTTGAAAATAATAAAAAATATGTTTCTTATAAAATCTTAAATAATTGAATCTTATTTGTCCATTTTAAATATTACCACAGCTTAGATACTTTGTGATAAATTTTTACATAAAGAGCGACCAAGTTTGCGTATCCCTTTCTCTTATTTTTATTTAAACATATTTTTCTCTCATCAACTAAGTTATTTCTGTATTTAAACAATCTATACGTACATTACCTACTACGTTTTTATCTACGTGGTAAAATTTGTGGAAACCACCATTGATCTTTAATTCAACCCATATTTACCTAACCCATTATTATCTATTACTTCGAAAAGTTGATTTTAATTGGATACGACATTTGCATTATCTTTGTTTTATTATCAATAACAAAATAAAAAATTGTATAATATTGTTTATATTTGTATATATATATATATATATATATATATATGATTTAGTAGTTAATTTTGATGTTGAAATATATGAGTGAGTTCTTGAGGGCGATACATCAAACAAAGAAAAGCCAAAGATTTATAAAATAATCTTTATTTCCAAACGTTTCGACATTCAATTTAATGTCATCATCAGTGGATCTAAAAACAGTATGAAAATTAGCATATCTAGGTAATTATAATATATGTGGATTGGTAAAGTAACTATACAATAAGAGAAAAATTAACAAATAGCAACACTTAACAACAAATCAAATATAAAAGATAGGAAAGGTAGTAGAGACTAGAATTAAATAAATAATTAAAAAGTATAGGCAAAAATATTTAAGTACACTCATATAAACTTACGCATATATACATATATGTACGTACACATATACACACATATACATATATATATATACATATATATATATATACATATATATATATATATATATATATATATATATACATGCATATATCCATATACACACACATACAAACATATAATACACATATACATATACAGATACAACAATATATACCTATATATGTACACATATACATGTAAGACTATACACATATAAATATACGTATATACATATATGCAACGTGCATGCATATTCACAACGACGTACATGTACATGTATGAACCATACATATACTCATACCTATCTATGTAACTATAGCTATACACGTATACACATACATATACGCATAAACATGTATATACACATATATACACACATATATATATATACATATATATACATACATATATATATATATATATACACACAATACATATATATATACATATGTACATAAATGCTCACAAATATATATATATATATATATATACATATATATATATATACATATACATATACATATATATATACATATATATACACATATATATACACATACATACATGCATATATACGTATATATAATTACATGTATACACATATAAATATGCACATACATACAAACATACATGTAAATAAGCAATATACATATATATATATACATACATACATACAAATACATATATATATATATATATATATAAACATACAATATATGTAAACTCGTATATATGTAAAGCAAACAAATTATTTATGAAGATGGATAATACATATAAAATACAAGTGGACTTATATATATATATATATATATATATATATATATAAATTTACTTCACATTCTTATTGGGAGTAGAGAATAAGAAGATACAAAATTATAATTGTATTGTATGTAAAAAAGCAGTACTAGCTATATATAATACAACTTTATTTATATAAAGTGATCTCAGGAAACGAAACAAAATATGCATATGTTGATAAAACAATATTTGTACATAAAATATGAGCTAATTTTTATTCAATATAAAATATTCAAATGCCATTATATGTTTATATAAAAATTTCTTGGAAGTTCGTTTTTTAACGACGCAAAGAATTTACAATTTTACTTGAGTAAATAAATTCATTACTGTATATTTTTAGTAATGAATCATTATTTTAATTTTAGTTTTTGCGCATAAATATACTTAAATAAAAACTACATGTACTGAACTATTAGCATTTAGAATATTTTTTAGTTTATTAGCATTTCAGTTACAGAAATTTGTACACAGATAGAAATACAAATTTTTATGCTTCCTAATATTTTTTAAATTTCGAAAAAACAGTTTACATAGAATACATAATCCATTCCTTTAAAAGTTTTTTTGGACATACTGTTCTTATCAAATTATTAAGTGTTATCGTTACTTTGTTTTTGGTAGAAGAAACCTGATGATGAAATGTATCTACTTCCGAAACGTTAAATATCATATCCTTTAATAACAAAAATGCATAATTAAAAATTAAGCTCAAGTAAGTTTTTATCACGTTTTTAATAATAGTAGCAGATATACGAATTTATGATACAAACTTTGTTATCAATCCACCTGAGATATAGCGATATCATATCAGTAGATTTGCATTGCGCGATATCTGAATTACATTTAATTTAATTTTAATATCTCATAATTAGTTGTAGATTTTTAAACCATCTTGGCATACGCACACTGTTTTTGGAAAAATAATAGTAGTAGTAAAATATTTTTTTTATGATGAATCTTCTTTTTTTATGTGCAAATTATTGACATAAACTATAATATTTGAAATTAAGATTCTTACTGTTGATTGATATATCATTTGTCGAAAATAATTGATCGAGTTTTTAATAACAATTAATTTTAATTATCGGCATATTTTTTATAATAATTAAGTATGGTATTTTTACCAACGTTCTAAAATTACATAACTAGGTAGTGTCGCATACACAGCCGTAATATCTGCCGTAGTAATTACTAAAGTAATATCAAAATCAAACTTGTTTGAAATTAAAAGTTACTGTTGAGTAATATTAATTTAATATATCTCTTCTTGTTCACTTTTATAAAACATACTTATTATATTTGCGTAATTGACATGAAAACTTGAATATTATGTGACATACTCGCACAAATAATTTCTCTTCCTGGAAGATTCAATAAGGTAACTTGTCTTGGCTATCGCTAGCACATTTCGATGTTTTTCGCATATTATGACTTAAGCTGCCGATACAGGTGTTTTGTCTTAAACATTGCATACATATTTTTTATAAATAATAATTTATAAAAAAGCGTCTGCTCGTTTGTCTAGACACTAAATTTGCCGAAATAATTTGACAAGATTTTTTAACGCTCTGTTACTGAACTATTCATACGTTTTTTTTTACAATAAAAACAACAAAGAAATTAATCGAATCCTGATTTTAATACGACTTAATATATTCATTGCATTGTTCAATTTTTTATAAAAAAACATATGAACTTGTTTAAAAATATAGGTCGAAATCGTGTATCACAATAACGTAACCCAAAATTCCATATTTATCGAAAATATGATTCTAGACTTTTATTTACAATACTTCAAAAGCATCGATTGTAATAGATATAAAATTTATTACTTGAACAAAAAAAGCATTTACGTTTGATAATTTGTGTTGTAGCTTTTTGTATAGTATTCGGAAATGCATTGACTATTTTTATTATCTATAAACAACTGCTTATTATTAATAATTTTTGTTGACTTATATGATGTAAATGACATATTTTTTAAAATTATATTATAATAAATGAAGAAATCAATCACGAATCCAATGCTTAAATCTTATGGCAATAGGAGCTTCATACTTTTTTTGTTTTTAAGCTTAGTTTTTGGATGGTCATGATGACTATATTTTCAAGTTGTTTTCAGTCGTTCATGACTTGCAATATTTTTCTTCAGTTCTATGGATATATTTATTTATATGGAATAATAAATATTATATCTCATGAAAGTTGTAAAATAAAAAACCTTATATTCTGAAACTTAAAAATAAATGCTTGTACTTATACCTTATTAACATTTGGCTTTTATTTTTATTTATTATTCGTTTTGTTAATGCGATGAAAAAAATATTTTTTATATGCTAAAAGTCCTTGTTTACAGAAATAATGTTTATTAATATTTTCTAAAGATCTTTGCAGAAATAAATAGCGTTTCTTAGAAACATTCGATATTGGGAATTCCGTTGTCTAACGAGGAAGCATGTAAAAACGGTGTTACTTTAGTATATTCAAATTAATTAATCAACGAGGTCGTGTTTAGTTTTACGTACAATTTTGTCAACGACCGGTTTTTCATGCATTTCAAATACCAATATTATGTATCTTTTTTAGCATCCCGAAGGAGATGTTTGTCTTCGCCAGAAAAACCGATTTGCTACTTTTGTTTTGTTGATGTTTCAAGTCATTATGTGTTAGATTATGGTAGTGATCGGCAGAACCGTACGTAATTAATTGTTGATTTATTTGGCGATTTTAATGAAACCTTGTTGCACGATGATAGAGTTTATGTTCTAAATTAACATGCTAAAATATTATAGACCTACTAAAGTGTTAAGTTTAGTTACAAAAAATCATATCTTCTATATATATATAAAAATAAGTCGGGTTTTCCTTCCTGACGAAATAACTCCAGAACGCACGAACCGATTTCGACAATTTTGCATTCGTTGGAAAGGTCTCGGGCT